CTCGTCTTTCAAAGGACTTCATGGCTACAGATGTCAGGGCGACGGGCCTGTAGTCATTCAGTCCAGAAATGGAGGGTTTTTTTGGGTTTGCGTTTGAAGTAGGAGGGAACTTCACACAGCTTCAGTGATTTGTTGAAGATCTGAGTGAAGATGGGGGCCAGCTGGTCCACACAGATTTTCAGGCAGGATGGAGACACACCATCAGGGCCAGGAGCCTTCCTGATCTTCTGCCTCTGGAAGAGGTGGCTCACATCCTCTTCACAGATCTTGAGTGCAGGTGAGAGGTCAGAGGGGGAAGGTGACTGTTTGAAGATGGCGTTGGAGTCGGGGAGAGGTGTGACTGTGGGCTTTTCAAACCTACAGTAGAAACCATTCAGCTCGTCAGCCAGTCGTTGAGTACCAGCAGTGTTGGGGGATGGTCTCTTGTAGTTTGAGTGTCCGTAGGCTTCTCCACACTGAGGTGTGAAGCTGTCATTTAGCTTTTCAGCAAAGCACCCCTTTGCAGCTTTGACCTCTTTAGTCAGTGTCCTGGCCTGGTTGCACAAGACTCTGTCCCCACTTCTGAATGCCTCCTCTTTGGTCTGACGAAGCTGCCTGAGTTTCGCTGTGAACCAGGGTTTTTGGCTGTTGTATGTGCGGAAGGTTTTAGTCGGCACACACATGTCCTCACAAAAACAGATGTCACAGTGTCAGTTCGTCCAGGTCAGTGGCTGCAGCCTCAAAAACACTCCAGTCAGTGCAGTCAAAGCAGGCCTGTAACTCCAGCTTTTACTCGTTGGTCCATCTTTACACAGTCTTTACAACAGGTTTAGCAGATTTCAGTTTTTGCCTGTGTGTCTGGATAAGATGTACCAGACAGTGATCAGAGAGTCCCAAGGCTGCACGGGGAACAGAGCGATAGGCGTCCTTTAATGTTGTGTAGCAGTGGTCCAGTGTGTTAGCGTCCCTGGTGGGACACTTAATATGCTGTCTGTATTTTGGAAGTTCATGGCTGACGTTTGTTTTGTTAAAAGTCCCCAAGAACAATGAGCAGGGAGTCTGGATGTTTTTTCTCCATGTTAGTTATCTGCTCGGCCAGGTGTAGTAACGCCTCACTAACACAGGCCTGACGTGGAATGTAAACAGCGACCAGGACAAACGAGGAAAACTCCCGCGCTGAATAAAATGGTTTACAGTTTATAAATAATGTCTCTGGGTGAGGCCTGCATGATTTCTTCAACACTGACATCTGTGCACCAACCTTCGTTTATATAGAAACAGAGTCCGCCTCCCCGTGTTTTTCCTGCGAGCTCCCTTTCACGATGAGATTAAATCCCTTTAGGTGAAGTGCGCTGTCCAGGATGCGCTCGGTGAGCCAGGATTCGGTGAAACAGAGGGCAGCAAATCTGCAGAAGTCCGAGTTAGTTCTGATGAGAAGCAGTTCGTCCATTTTGTTGGCCAGAGAGTGGACATTCGCCAGGTGGATTGAAGGGAGTGCAGTGCGAAATCCCCGCTGTCTCAGCTTAACCAGCGCGCCTGCACGTTTTTCCCTGCGCAGTTTCTGAAGGATCCCAAACAGAGCTGCCGCTCCTCCAACTAGTAACTCCGGGAAACGGACGCTGTTCTGCTGAATTGTCTCCTAGCGCATCCACTCGATCTGTGGCTGACTTCTTAGAAAAGAACCACTTTGAGTGTTTCTGTCTCTTGTTTGTGAGAAGGCGATTAAGATAGCCACACCTGAATTTGGAGTGCACACATATTCAAGCCTTTGTGGTAAATCCACTGAAACAGCCCAGTGCGAGCTGACAGGCAGGTTAGAGAATTTATCCTGTCAGTTTGTCTCTTTACAAAGACAAGTGTTGCAGTATGAGAGTCCTGCCTGAAGAGAGTCTCTGAAGTCTTCATGTTACGCCGTACGAGAACCACATACAACATTATTTATCACACTGGGTCGGACTTGATGAATTTATGCAATGGTTTAAAAAAAAAGTCAAAACAAATGGAACAAATGTGAATGTACTTGTTTGGTATTTGGCAATTTTTTTCACTATATTCGGCTTCGGCCAAGAATTTTCATTTCGGTGCATCCCTATAGCAAAGTGTAATTTTTTCAGTATTCATCTATCCCTCCATCCATCGTCAACTGCTTATCCTGTGTACAGGGTCGCGGGGATTTTTCAGTATTGTCACATGAAAAGATATCAAATATTTACAAAAATTTATTTTATATTTATATATAAATATTTATAAGTTATATTGTGAGATACTGTATATACGAATCATTCATCACCACTGATTATTATAGTGTTTAAAAGCAGTAGCTATTTGGAAGTGCATGCAATTTTCAGCAGGCATGCATAATTCGGCACAACACAACACCTGACTCGGCGCCTGTCACCTTGGTCCCGCGAGGTCTTAATGTCATGTCATGGTGATAGCCCTCTGAACTGCCTTAATTGTTCATGGCATATTTTCAACAACAGACTTTGGTCCATATTGACAATGTAGCAAAACACAGTTGATGCTTGTTTGTCGGCTGCACATCCATGATGTAAATCTCCCGGTCCACACAACTGCTGCTCACTGGATATTTCCTCCTTTTCGGACCTTCCTCTGTAAACCCTAGAGATGGTTGTAGGGATACTACGATTACAGATTTTGTTGGTAAGATTATAGTCAGAGGAATAAGCATGGCTTCACGATTATCACAACTATTGTGCATTAATTAATTTAACAATACTAGTAATTACTTAAGTCAATTTTAAATATTTAATTACATTAACTATTATAGGTCTATTATATTTAAGTATTATTATTAATATAAGGACTATTAATTTAATTTACAGTGGGTACGGAAAGTATTCAGACCCCTTTAAATTTTTCACTCTTTGTTTCATTGCAGCCATTTTCCAAAAATCAAAAAAGTTCATTTTATTTCTCAGTAATGTACAATCAGCACCCCATCTTGACAGAAAAAAACAGAAATGTAGACATTTTTGCAAATTTATTAAAAAAGAAAAACTGAAATATCACATGGTCATAAGTATTCAGACCCTTTGCTCAGTATTTAGTAGAAGCACCCTTTTGATCTAATACAGCCATGAGTCGTTTTGGGAAAGATGCAACAAGTTTTTCACATCTGGATTTGGGTATCCTCTGCCATTCCTCCTTGCAGATCCTCTCCAGTTCTGTCAGGTTGGATGGTAAACGTTGGTGGACAGCCATTTTCAGGTCTCTCCAGAGATGCTCAATTGGGTTTAAGTCAGGGCTCTGGCTGGGCCATTCAAGAACAGCCACAGAGTTGTTGTGAAGCCACTCCTTCGTTATTTTAGCGGTGCGCTTAGGGTCATTGTCTTGTTGGAAGGTAAACCTTCGGCCCAGTCTGAGGTCCAGAGCGCTCTGGAAAAGGTTTTCGTCCAGGATATCCCTGTACTTGGCCGCATTCATCTTTCCCTCGATTGCAACCGGTCGTCCTGTCCCTGCAGCTGAAAAACACCCCCACAGCATGATGCTGCCACCACCATGCTTCACTGTTGAGACTGTATTGGACAGGTGCTGAGCAGTGCCTGGTTTCTCCACACATACCGCTTAGAATTAAGGCCAAAAAGTTCTATCTTGGTCTCATCAGACCAGAGGATCTTATTTATCACCATCTTGGAGTCCTTCAGGTGTTTTTTAGCAAACTCCATGCGGGCTTTCATGTGTCTTGCACTGAGGAGAGGCTTCCGTCGGGCCACTCTGCCATAAAGCCCCGACTGGTGGATTGCTGCAGTGATGGTTGACTTACTACAACTTTCTCCCATCTCCCGACTGCATCTCTGGAGCTCAGCCACAGTGACCTTTGGGTTCTTCTTTACCTCTCTCACCAAGGCTCTTCTCCCCCGATAGCTCAGTTTGGCCGGACGGCCAGCTCTAGGAAGGGTTCTGGTCGTCCCAAACGTCTTCCATTTGAGGATTATGGAGGCCACTGTGCTCTTAGGAACCTTAAGTGCAGCAGAAATTTTTTTGTAACCTTGGCCAGATCTGTGCCTTGCCACAATTCTGTCTCTGAGCTCTTCAGGCAGTTCCTTTGACCTCATGATTCTCATTTGCTCTGACATGCACTGTGAGCTGTAAGGTCTTATATAGACAGGTGTGTGGCTTTCCTAATCAAGTCCAATCAGTATAATCAAACACAGCTGGACTCAAATGAAGGTGTAGAACCATCTCAAGGATGATCAGAAGAAATAGACAGCACCTGAGTTAAATATGAGTGTCACGGCAAAGGGTCTGAATACTTATGACCATGTGATATTTCAGTTTTTCTTTTTTAATAAATTTGCAAAAATTTTTTCTGTCAAGATGGGGTGCTGAGTGTACATTACTGAGAAATAAAATGAACTTTTTTGATTTTTGGGAAATGGCTGCAATGAAACAAAGAGTGAAAAATTTAAAGGAGTCTGAATACTTTCCGTACCCACTGTATCCCCCAGTGGAAACTGTTATTGAGGACGGTAATAAACTGAACTGTAACTGTTGTCAACTCTCATCCATATATATATATATATATATATATTATTGAAAATGAAATCTCAAACACATTGAGAATATCTCTCATGCATTGTTATTAATTACTGAAATGCAGGTAATTGGTAGTCTTGGAAGTCTATAATCTCCTGATGCTATGATAGTGTTTTATACCTGGCAACATTTTCTCAACACAGACAGAATATAAGGTTAAATGTTCAGTGACTGAAGGTCTGCAGAGGACTTTGTTCTTCCATAAAGGCCTTTTCAGAAAAGAAGGGGTTTGCGCTGCGTTGGAAGCTGGGTTCAGCGCAAAGGTTCAAATTCTTTGACAGCAGCTTGCGCGAGCGCTCGCCAAGCGATGCCGTGCGTGTTGCTTGACACAACAACCTTATTGTGATTTGTGCTCAGACAAACCCATATAACAGGGAGACAGAGAACTGAAGGAAATTTTAAATTCCTGTAATGGATTTAAATTTGGTAGATATACATAAGATAAGAGCACATGAACTGACCTCAGAATCTCCAGTCTACAGTGGGGACTCTCCAGATTATCAGACAGCAGCTTCAGTCCTGAATCCTGCAGCTTGTTTTTCGTCAGGTCCAGCTCTCTCAGATGGGAGGGGTTGGACTTCAGAGCTGAGGCCACGACTTTACAGTGAGTCTCTGAGAGTCCACAGCCAGAAATTCTGTAAAGACAGAATATAAAACTTATAATAAAATCTGACACTTTAAAAATGGATAGAAATAGACAAAGCACATTAACATGAGCAGCTTATGCTAGTTGGTCAGTGTCATGGACTGCAAGCACTCAACCCACAATGCCATGGTCACGCACTGACACAGCACAAACTCAAAATTACCAAATGCGCTCTCTACATGGACTGTGTATTTACCTCAGTCACGTTCTTGTGTGTTTTGTGCATATTATGGCATACGATACCATAACTGTCCTCACTGGCATCAGAGAAGTGATGTAGTTGGGCACTTGTGAGCCGTCCCAAAATATTTGGGCTTGATGCATCTTGGTACGTTAAATGTGCTGAGCTTTCTTAGATCTTCTAGCCACGCCACCCACTGTAGTTGGTAGTTTGGGATGTGATCATCCCAACCACAGCTCAACCTCCAGAGATTTTGCAGCATCAATTTGGCAGGTAAGGTAAAGGGTGCTAAAAATCCAGTGGGGTCGTACACTGAGCTTATTAAAGACAAGATACCTCATCTTGTGAGTGCCTATGAAGGCAGGGACTTAAAGCAATCATCCACGTAGAAATTGTGCTTGATTGTCAACCTCAAGGTTCCCTTTTTAGAATGGTACATGCCATGATGCAGGATGTGCAAGACTTTTCCTTCTTTTCCTTCCAGTTGATTTTCTGGCACCTATTTTTGCATTATTTAATAACATCACTGAGAAAGTGAGTGTATTCTTCTTTAATTTCCTTTTTAGACAGAGGACCCTTTGTTCAGCAACATGGTGGTTGTTAGGCATGGTACCATTTTCCTCCCTTAAAAGTAATCTCATGCAATAATGGCTGTTGTTGAATTCAGCTGAACTGTTCGTGATTTCCATAAACTTGAGATCTTCTGTCGACATTTCTGGCTTTTCCTCTGATGATTTCTCATTAAAGTCGTGGTTGTATTACTTCACCAGCAGTTCCTCTGTTAGCAATAGATATTCAGTTGACTGTAATGGTAGGATAGCTGCTCCCAGTCTCATTGCCTCCTATCAGTGGTCCATTGATAATCCATCCCAATAGGGTTCTAACAGCATAGTGTCCTCTGTCCTCACTTTCTATGGTTCCATTAGTCTTGAAATGTTAGTTCCAATCAACACCTCCACATCAGCATCAATGACACATGAGTGTAAATGTGGCCAGGCACTTAGCTCTTCTTGTCGTGGAATGTTATCACAGGTCTCTCATACTGTGTTTATACACATCAGGCAATTCAAAGAAAGTGTTACTATTGAGTGCAGATACCTCCAGTCCTGAGATAACGTGACTGCTGAAAAACCTTTCTTGGCTCACGGTTCTCAGCAGGATCTTGGTGTTTCTTCCTCTCACCTTTAGTTCCCTCATGAGTCGCTCAGAGCAGAAAGTGGCTGTACTGCCGGGATCTAAAAATGCACAAGTCTTTAGCATTTTACTGCCTTTCATAGCGTTGATTTGTACAGGAACAATTAGCAAGACACAGTCTGGCACACCAGCCCCTATATGGTCAAGTTTGTTTCTTGGTGTGTGTACTCTGATTAGAGATATTTTTCCTTTAAATGGATGTGGAGGCAGGTAGGATGTTTCAGGTTACGAAACTTGCAAGACAGACGTCTATGACAATCTTTGCTCATGTGTCCAACAGACAAACACCCAAAACAAACACCTTTCACCTTCAGAAAGTCAATTTTCTATCTATGCAGCTTGTTCTCCCTTCTGGGGCGCAACTCCAATCTGTGACCCTCCTCACACAGCAGACACGACACATTTGTTGACTTATCAGTTTTTCTCCTTTTCGCTTGATTTGTGTTTCCAGTATTAACAGCTTCCATGGAGGTAGCAAAACTGCTTCCCTTACCCTGAGGCGAACCTATGAGACTTTATGTCCACTGTTATATTTTGGTGGTAAGATGGATGTGTCCTGACTGTTTCCAAAGATTGGATCAGAGGATAGATAGACGATAGATACTTGCCTCTCAATGAAACTGACAATGTCACTGAAACCTGCTTGACGACAGTGCCTCTCCTGCAACTCATAAGCAGAGTTTCTCCACCTTTCCCTCAGTTTATATGGTAACTTCAAGACTATAGCACGCATAACCACTGTGATTCCCTGCCTATGCCACCTAGTGCACGGGTGGAAGAGCGTCATCCCTATACAATTTACCACAAACACACAACATATAGCACACATCAAAATTGGCTACAACAGTCCCCGATCTACATCATTTGCATGCAAGACTACATGGCAAATGGAGGCTGGGAGTGAGTGGAGCAGTTCCAGGAGTTTATCCAGGATGACTGGCACTGTGGCTCCAGGGAAGCAACGAGTAGTGGCATTGAAGAGTAGAATGGTCCTGAACTGGGTCTCCAACTATCAATGTGGTTGGGATTTAGAAGGGACGAAGAGATGGAGATTGTGTAGACTTACAGTTGGTGGGGGTGTGATCCAGGCTGTCCACACCATTTGCGGAGGCCAGCAGACTCGGCAGGGAAGCAGCGGCAGCTGCATCAGACCTGGTAGGGCGATTACCCTCCAACTCTGGGTGACGAAGACCCCCGGATCGCCATAGCTCCGCCTACTTCAAGATTTTTCGCCGAGCAATGGAAGTTGCAGAGCGGGATGATGGTTGAAGAGGCTCGCCTATTGTTTGGCCACACGTCTGGTTGCTGTCAGCCGAGGGAATCAGCGGGGTGCATCTGGTCACAGTCAGTCGCCAGAGTCACAAAGCGGTTGGAGAGGCACAGGTGAGGTGGAGAGGCAGACCCGTTTGTTGTCGAGCAGGGCCGCGGATGACAAGAGGGATCCCACACTGACGTGTGCTGGAGAGTGTCTTGTGAGGTTAACATTCGTAAGTGCTCTGTCATCAAGAAGTTAAATAGCAATGGGAGACGGGTCTTAAAGTGGGACAGGAGCGAGTCCCTTTGTTGGAGTTCATCAGAGAGCAGTCAGGCATCCTCCTCAAGAACTAATAATACAACTTGAGACTTAAAAACATAAAACTCAAACAGAACCTCCAGCACAGACGCTGACACATCCGCAGTCAAGTCACACATATGAGGAATTTGCTTTTGTGATGAGGTGATACAGGTAGACAACAAGTTGACATGAATAAATGTAGAAATATATAAATATGGAGTAAACAAATGCAAGTTTATTTGAGGATTTTCAGTCAGGATTTAGAGCTCATGATAGCGCAGAGACAGCACTAGTGAAAATGAAACGACCTCCTCATTGCATCAGACAAAGGACTTGTCTCTGTACTGGTTTTATTAGATCTTAGTGCTGCATTTGATACCATTGACCATCAGATCCTATTGCAGAGACTGGAACTTTTCATTGGCGTTAAAGGAACCGCTCTAAGCTGGTTTAAGTCCTATTTATCAGATCCATTTCAGTTTGTACATGAGTCCTCCATGCACGCCAAGGTTAGTCATGGAGTTCCTCAAGGATCTGTCCTCGGACCAATCCTCTTCACTTTATATATGCTTCCTTTAGGCAATATTATCAGGAAATATTCCATAAGCTTTCATTGTTATGCAGATGATACTCAGTTATATCTATCGATCAAGCCAGATGAAACTCATCAGTTAGCTAAACTTCAAATGTGCCTTCAGGATATTAAAACCTGGATGACCTGTAATTTTCTAATGTTAAAACTCAGATAAAATGAAGATGAAGTTATTGCTCTGGGGCCTAAGCACCTCCGTGACGCATTATCTAAAGATATAGTTTCCCTGGATGGCATCGCCCTGGCCTCCAGCACCACTGTGAGGAATCCTGGAGTTATCTTTGATCAGGACATGTCGTTTAAGTCTCACATTAAGCAAATTTCAAGGACCGCCTTTTTTCACCTACGTAATATTGCGGAAATCAGGAACATACTGTCTAAAAATGATGCAGAAAAACTAGTCCATGCATTTGTCACTTCTAGGCTCGATTACTGCAATTCCCTATTATTAGGCTGCTCGAAAAAGTCCATTAAGACTCTTCAGCTGATCCAGAATGCTGCAGCACGTGTTCTGACAGGAACCAGGAAAAGAGATCACATTTCTCCTGTTTTAGCTTCTTTGCATTGGCTTCCAGTAAAATCCAGAATAGAATTTAAAATCATTCTTCTTACCTACAAAGCTCTTAATGGTCAGGCACCATCTTATCTTAAAGAGCTCATAGTACCTTACTACCCCACCAGAGCACTGCGCTCCCAGAATGCAGGGTTACTTGTGGTTCCTAGAGTCTCCAAAAGCAGACTAGGAGCCAGAGCGTTCAGCTATCAAGCTCCTCTCCTGTGGAACCAGGTTCCAGTTTGGGTTCAGGAGGCAGACACCATCTCTACATTTAAGAGTAGGCTTAAGACTTTCCTCTTTGATAAAGCTTATAGTTAGGGCTGGCTCAGGTAGTCCTGAACCATCCCTTAGTTATGCTGCTATAGGCCTAGACTGCCGGGGGATTTCCCATGATGCACTGAGCTCCTCTCTCCTCTACTTTCTCTCCCTCTCTATGCAACCTCATTACATTTATGCATGTTACTAACACAACTTCTCCCCTTTTTGGTAGTCTTGTGCTTTCTCGTCCCTCTCCTCTATCATAAAGTACGGTCTAGACCTGCTCTTTTATGAAAAGCGCTGTGAGATAACTGTTGTTGTGATTTGGCGCTATATAAATAAAAGTGATTTGAAGTTATATAAGAATAATAAAAGAGAAAAATAATACAACTATTTGCAGAGAAAGAACAATGTGGCAGATATGTGCATTATTCCAGGTTTGTGTTGGAGATGTATTGCAACGGAAGAGAATATTGTGTACATACATACAGTCCCCTCCAACAGTATTGTTGTCCCTTTGTTTTTGCTGTTCACTGAAGACATTTGGGTTTAAGATCAAAAGATGAGTATGAGACAAGAGTTCAGAATTTCAGCTTTTATTTCAGTGAGGGACCTGGGCCTTGTTAGTGAGGCTAGCTGCAGACGGGAAGAAG